GTTTTAAAATGCATTTTGAGGCTGGAATACTTGATTACAATAGTTCTTATTTTACAGGGTTAGGATACAAAGCACTCGAATGTAGGCCATTATTACTATTATTTTTTTGTTTGCCAATATTTGAAATATCCCTTTTTAGTACTAACTCAATTCTTCCTTAACATCGATTAAAGCAACATATGCACCTCTACTGTGACGGACTCTACTGTTTGAGGATTGAGCCAGTATCTGTTTATTTCCTGCTTTAGATCCATGTCCCCGGAGCACTCCCTGGGATATGGAGGTTTTCAGGATTAATAACTGCATGAGATACCCAGCTTGGATCAGCCTCAGTCTCCTTTTCACATCTTGCTTTTCTCCACTCCTCTTCTCCACGCCGTTGCCTCTGGATTTTCCAGGGTGGAGTCTGAGAGAGCAAGGGGAGACGTAAGGGACAGACATGGTCTCACATGACAGCAACGGTTTCAGGCGTACGTTCCTGAGACCAGCTTGTGTCCCAAAGCTTCTCACTATTGAAGGGCTACTCTAGGTTCCCTAATGATTCTCCCCATGACGTTCCCCGACATGAGCTACAGTGTTTTCTCTTTAGATTCCGCTTCATCTTCTGCAATGTACGGTAAGCCTGCAGCCCCTTTCTGCGAAGACATCTGACCCATGAAAATCCTTTCTCTTGCCTCATCTTGATGTCAGAGCAGCCTGCTCCCTGTTAGCCCCTGCCCTGCCTCTGCTTAGATGTGCAGATTCCTTCAGCCTCTACTTTTAACTTCTTGGGACATGAGGCAGATGTCAGCCCCTTGCTCCCAAACTCCAGAGTCTCATCAAGTGACAGTCTGGAGACCCCTCATTTGGCACGAGAAACCCCTCCTGTAGTAACCCCTCATGTGCCTTCCCTTACAGAGAAAGTCCAGCGTACTAGGACAGCTGTTGCCAAAGGAATTGTCACTTCTTAATGGGTACCAAGAGCAGGGCAGCGGGAGGTTCTACTCATGGTTTAGGAAATAATTTAGAATTGCCTTGTCTATAAAGACCTTTAAAACACTAATAAAATCAACCAAAAGTTGGTCTTTTAAAAATTGTTATTACTAGGTGGTGGCAATTCTAAACAATGACAGCAACAAAATTCTCCTCCCCCCACAAAACTCATGGGTGGCTCTAAGTCCTAAGTAACGACTACAGTAGATATTGAGCTTTAACAATACACATTTTGGCTCCAAATCGGCATATTTCAATTCAGAGAACTCCTTGCTGTACAATCGTCCCCTGATACACACAGACTCAGCTACACTCATTCATTTTGTGAATAAGTTCCTATAAGTTTGGGAAAGTTTGGGCTTGTTTTGGGTGAAATTCTCATCTCCAGCTCCTGTGATATAATATATTCTTGCATTTGAACAATGGGTTCAAAATAAATGATGATAGTACAGTAATTGCAAAGACAAATAAATGGAACTTGAGTTACTTCAGTTTTTTTATTCTGAGTGATTTTTTGGAATTTTAATTTGTGTTTAAAAGTTAAGGCAATGGTGGGGCGCAGTAGCTCACGCCTGTAATCCTAGCACTTTGGGAGGTTGAGGTGGGCAGATCACAAGGTCAGGAGCTCGAGACCAGTGTGACCAACATGGTAAAAACCCATCTCTACTAAAGATACAAAAATTCGCCAGGTGTGGTGGCGCACACCTGCAATCCCAGCTACTCAGGAGGCTGAGGCAGAAGAATCACTGGAACCTGGGAGGCGGAGGTTGCAGTGAGCTGAGATTGCACCACTGCACTCCAGCCTGGGCAAAAAGAGCATGACTGTGTCTCAAAAAAAAAAAAAAAAAAAAAGATGGTAAATTATATATATATATATATATTAAAATTATTTATTTAGGTATTTATTCATTTTGAGACAGAGTCTTGCTCTGTTGCCCACGCTAGAGTGTAACAGTGAGATCTCGGCTCACTGCAACTTCTGCTTCCTGGGTTCAAGTGATTTTTCCTGCCTCACCCTCCCAAGTAGCTGGGACTACAGATGCCTGCCACCATGCCCCACTAATTTTTTTTTATCTTTAGTAGAGACAGGATTTTGCCATGTTGGCCTGGTCTTGAACTCCTGACCTCAGGTGATTCACCTGCCTTGGCCTCCCAGAGTGTTGGGATTACAGGAGTGAGCCACTGCACCTGGCCATGTTATGCATTTTTTAACCACAATTTTTAAAACATATAAAGCAGCTTGAACAAAAGGGTGATCCAAACAATATTTTTGTTTGGCAAGTGCAAATTTTAGTTCATACATGTAATATGTTACCAAATTAGAATAATGCCATTAAGATTGAAATGTATTCTTTGTGTTGGTTTGAGTCCTCCAAACCAAGATAAAATTAGACATGAAGAGATCTATTTCTTGGGGAAAGCGTCTGTGATGGACAAAGGAGAGGAAGCTGGAGTAGACAAGGACAGCCTCCCACTGTGATGACATCTGGGAGAGGAGGGAGGGAGCCCCAGGGAGCAAGCATCCCAGATCAAAGCACAGTGCTAACAAAGTTCCAGCCAGCCTGATGGGGAGTCTTTTGAGTCCATGATGCCAATTAGGCCAGGTACAGTGGCTCATGCCTGTGATTCCAACACTTTGAGAGGCTGAGGCAGGAGGATTGCTCAAGGGTAGAGTTCCAGACTAACTAACATGGGCAACATAGTGAGACCCCCATCTGAGAGAGAGAGAGAGAGAGAGAGAGCAAGAAATAAATAAATTAGCCAGACATGGTGGCATGCCTCTGCAGTCCCAGCTCCTCTGTAAGCTGAGGTGGGAGGATCAATTGAGCCCAGGACTTCAAGGTTGCAGTGAGCTATGATTGTGCCACTGCACTGCACTCCTGCCTGGGCAGCAGAGTGGGACCCTGTCTCAAAAAAATAAAAATAAACTCCTCCTGCCAAAAACAAAAACAAAAAAAACAAAAAACAAAAAAACCAAAGTTGCCAATTAGATGAGTCCCCTGGGACCATTTTCTCTCTCCATACAAAATAGATGACCAGCTGCACCCTCACTTACAACTCTGCCAATTGGGAAGCTTTTTCCTCTCCACTGGCTTTCACCACCTTTCATGAAGTGGTTGTAATGAAGCCACTGTCCATTTTTGGCTTCTAAGCCAGCCCATCTGTGAACTGAGCTCAAGCCTTTTCCTTCTCTTCTAGGTGGTCATGAACTCCCAACCCCCTGCAAATATAGTCATACATTGGAGCTGAGGGAGGGATACTAGTACAAATGTGGTGGGTGACATGTTGGCCTGGGCTACTTGCTCATGCAGATTACTCATGCTTCCGGATCCTGCTGGGGCCTAATCCTGGATTAACCATTTCGATTTGCAGTGTTCTGAGGCTGGGCCTGTCCTACTTAATGACTCAGTGGGTCCAGTGGAACCCAGCTGGTAGTGGGCAGGACTGATGCATGATCACCTGGTGCCCTATGTATCCAGTGTTCTGTCTCTACCAGGATATAGTAACAGGCCAGGAGTTTTTCTCAAAAGACTTACAGTTCTCTGCTGTGTATTGCATGGTCTTGTTTCAGAGTCCTGGCTCCTTTGTTGTGATTCTCCTGCTGGGTCTTGCTTTAAGATGACTGCTGCATCTTTTTTTCACCACTGACACCCCCAATGCCATAGAGTCTATTGTATCACACAGCCCAGTTGGCAGGGCTGTTTGCATCACAGCCTTGACTTGCCACAGAGCCCTTTCTTGCTCTGGGTTCACTTGGAGCTGGTGACTGTTTATGTCACTGGGGATAGCATCCATTTGCATCACCTTGTATATGGACATATTAAGTGTTCCTAAATGTGGTCTGCGTTGCCCCTAGAACCTAAAGAGGCCTCCTGCCAGAGATAAGGTGGTGGGGCTCAGGCTGTCCACTGTTATCTTCAGTAATTCTACTCTGGCCCCAACCTTGTGCACCCTAGCAGCAAAACAAAAGCCCTCCCTCAGATCTAGTGAGTGCCTGTCAATGATAAAGCATGCCCCTTGCAGGAGAAGGGGGGCTGACCCGCACCCCAAGTAGTTTATCACAGCTTGCTTTCTAAGCACATTCAGAGCTCACCCTCCCTAAGAGAAGTCTGCCTGTCCTGCCCTGTGTCCTCTTTTATTCCCATGGGGAGCAGACAGAGAGCTCCCCTGTTGCCTCCCTGATCCTTGCCATGTCACACATCAGCATAGAAGTTAACAGCAAGGACTTTGGGTTCCAACGGAGCTTGATTCCATTCTTGAGTGGAATGGAACCTAAGCTACTCCATCCCTTGATTTTTCTGATCTGTAAGATGACAGCGATAATACCAATTGTACCCCCACTGTTTTGAGGATTTCAGGAGATGACTACCAAGCACAGTGTGATGCATGACGTTGCTGTAGGTACCCCAGGTGGCAACGTCTTGTTTAGAGGCTGCTTCCTTCATTTAATTGGAAGCTCCTTGAGGATCAGAGTGGTCTTTTCTAGACACTCCCTCTAGGATACTAAGGATACAGTAGATATTCAGTGACTGTTTAGGGATGTCTCTTGAATGTATACCCAATTTTAATCAACCACGTTTTTTTTTCTTCCAGAAATGCAGAATGTTAACATCTGAGAGAAGCTGTTGTTCTCTCAGATATTGTAGGAAGCACCAGGTGGTGAACGGAGCTGGGGCCTTCCAGCAAGATAGGGGAAGAAGGACACTCTGATAACTTCCTGGGCCCCAGTTTCCTCACTTGGCGAATGGAGAGAGTGATGGATACCATTACAAGGTTGTGGCGACGGTTTTCTTAAACTATAGTTAACACGCCGCCAAGGACACAGTTAAGCACTGAGAAACAGCAGCTGTTATTATTGCTATCGATTTAAGAGTTACTGTTAAAAAAGTGAAAGTGAACGCGCTCAGGTCTGCGCTCAAGGCCAGCAACCCGGCTGGGTCCGAGCGGAAACCTGCGGGGCAGCAAGGGGCGGGGTCGTCGGAAGCCCCACCCCTTTCCTCGCGTCCGGTCGTCCGGGCAACGCACCGCCGCGTCGCAGCCAGAGTGACGTGTGAGCGCCGGCAGCCGGAGTTCCTGGGCACAGTCGGCTTTGGCGGGGACCGCTGCGGCAGTGATGACTGATGATGACTCCGAGAGCGTCCTCTCCGAGTCCCAAGAAGGGTCGGAGCAGGAGCTGCCTGTTATCCAGCTGTGCCGGCTGGTGGAGGAGCTCAGGTACCGCGGCGGTGCCTGGGGGCCGCCCCTTCTCCTGCTGGGCCCTCCTCCCCGGGCGGCCTCGGACCTGGGGACCAGCATGGAGAAGATCCAAGCCCTCACTGGGGAGGCTTTGCCTCTTTACCTCTGCGTCTCCACCACCTGAGCCAACAAGCCGTTGATGGAGCTAGAATGGGGTGGTGGGAAGAAGGGGCGCGGCCGGTGGTAGGAAGCCCAGAGGGTAATTAGGGTAGTGAGAGTTTCAACCTGATTAGTCTCTGTTTTGCCAGAAGGTGTGCTTAGCAGATCCACAATTCTGCAGCGTCAGGTTTTTCTGATGCTAAGATTCTATGATAAGGCCGAGCGCCGGGGGCTCCCGCCTATAGTCCCTGCGCTATAAGAGGCGGAGGCGCGCGGATCACTTGAGGTCAGGAGTTCGAGACCAGCCTGGCCAAAATGGGGAAACCCCGTCTCTACTAAAAATATAAAAATTAGCCAGGCATGGTGGCGGTCGCCTGTAATCCCAGCTACTCAAGAGGCTGAGGCAGGAAAATCACTTGAACTCGGGAGGTGGAGGTTGCAGTGAGCCGAGATCGTGCCACTGCACTCTAGCCTGGGCGACAGAAAGAGACTACTGTCCCCCCCCCCCCAAAAAAAAAGTTCTGTGATAAAACTAATATGGCAGCAGAATAGAAAGCAAGCTATTGAGGTGGTTTTAGTATGCGGCAACATGTGCTGAACCTAGGTAAACAGACGTAAAGAATGAGTGGCCCAATATTCTACATTTATTTTATTTTGGCAGTTTGCTTTATATCTACTACTATAGCAAGTAAATTAGATATCAAGATTCCATGATGTAGTTAAGATTAGTTGTACAACTTACTGGTCTTGCACAGAATATCCTAGCTTTAGCAGCTGAATAGATGTTACTTCTGTACATCTACAAGTACCTTAGTTCAGAACTGAGGTATATTACTAATACCTATCATTTTTTAGTGCTTCTGTGTACCATGCATTTACATATATGACCTTATATAATGACACTGCAACCCTAGGAGGTGGGTAAGGAAACAAAGACACAGAGGGATTTAAAGAGGGTAAATCCCTGCCCTAAGTTTACACAGCAAGTCAGTGGCAGTGCTGGGCATCAAACTCAGGTGCATCTCCGCAGACTACATACACCTCGAAAAAGCGAGATACTTTGATGTATTGTGCTTTCCATTCAGCCTAGTTTTTTTTTTTTTTTTAAGACAGAGTCTCTCTGTTGTCCAGGCTGGAGTGCAATGGTGTGTTATCAGCTCACTGCAACCTCCACCTCCCAGGTTCAAGCGATTCTCCTGCCTCAGCCTCCTGAGTAGCTGGGATTACAGACGCCCACCACCACACCCAGCTAATTTTTGTATTTTTAGTAAAGACAGGGTTTCACCATGTTGGTCAGGCTGGTCTCAAACTCCTGACTTCAGGTGATCCCCCTGCCTTGGCCTCCCGAAGTGCTGGGATTACAGGCATGAGCCATCGCACCTGGCTTCACTAGTCTTAAAATTCAGCCAAGCAGGAATATTAAAAGTAATAACAAAAACTGCAGTTACTTTCTGACCAACCTAATAGATCAATAACACATGAAAACATCAAAGTTGTTCTCTCTCTCTCTCGTATACATACATATACATACTTGTATGTAACACGTACACACATATGAGAAGTTAAAAAGTTTAAAAGGTTATAACCTTGGCATATGCAGGATAAACTAGGTATATTATCTGTTGCTCAGTTCAGTTTTCCACAGTTTGTGATAAACTTCCAGTTAATACTTTTTATCTGTTGGGTGCTGGAAATAAAATAACTGAAAGACACAAACCAAAGGAAACATCTGAAGATTGTGGGTGTGTATAACTTCAAGAATACAGTGATTCAGGTTGGGCACAGTGGCTATTGCCTGTAGTCTCAGCACTGTGGGAGACCAAGGTGGAAGGATCACTTTAGGCCAGGAGTTGGAGACCAGCCTTGACAACATAGCAAGATACCACCTCTACAAAAAAAATTTTAAATTAGTCAGGCATGACGTTGTGCACCTGTAGTCATAGCTACTCAGAAGGCTGAGGCAGGAGGATTGCTTGATCCCAGGAGTTCAAAGTTACAGTGAGTGCATCTCTCTCTCTCTCTCTCTCTCTCTCTCTCTCTCTCTCTCTCCATATATATATTTTTTTCATACTATTTATACATTCAATACTATATATATAATCATTTTATATATATATATGCATATATATATATATGGTAATTCAGAAAGAATTTCCCAAATGGGTTCAATGTTATTTGAAGATGAAACCTATTGCAATTTTCAATGTAATACTAGTGTTCTGCATTTTGTAGCTTATTAAACATATTAATAAAAATATCAAATATATAGCACTTACTATGAGTCAGGCCCTGTCCTGAAGGCTTTGTATTCCTTATTGGATGTACCCTAAAAGTTAGGTGCTATTCATATACCCATTTTATAGGTGAGGAAACTAAGGCACCAAGAGGCGAAGGGGTCTTACAGGTCCACTAGTTACTAAACACTAGTTAATTTGGGCTTTAAACTCATTACTAGAACTTACTCAGGTACCCTGTCTTTCAGCTATTTAAACTCTGCTCTCAAAACTGAGACAGATATGTTTGAGAAATACTACATTAAACTGGAGCCCAGCGATCACCGACTTCCACGATTATCAGAAATTAAAATGTCAGCAGCAGATTATGTACAGGTACGCAGTGGAGATCTAGAACATTCTTTTATTGTTTGTCCCCTTAAATGCAAGTGGTATTTGTATATCTGCCTTTGGTGTGCCCTCTGTGGCCGATTGACCATGGGACCTTCTTCTCCCTGTTTTACTTTTGATTTTTCTTTGCCGCTCTAGGGTTTCTCTTTCAAGTGAGTGTGAAGGGAATTGGGTTCAGTTAATAGTAGATCGACTCTCCCAGCATATCTTAGTTTACTTAAAAGAATTCCCTTTGGCTAGGTGCAGTGGCTCAGGCCTGTAATCCCAGTGCTTTGGGAGGCTGTGGTGGGAGGATCATGTGAGGCCAGGAGTTTGAAGCCTGCCTGGACAATATTGCAAGACCCCATCTCTACAAAAGAAAATTCTTAAATTAGCCAGATGTGGTGACATGCATCTGTAGTTTTAGCTACTTGGGAGGATTTGCCCTCATGTGCCGTAGGTCATGAGATGGACAAATGAGATGGGAGGATTGCTGGAGCCCAGGAGTTTGAGGCTACAGTGAGCTATGATCGCACCACTGTACTGCAGCCTGAGCAACAGAGCAAGACCTTGTTTCAAGATCTTGTTTCAAACAAACAAGAATTCATTTAAATTGAGGGACTCAACTGTTTACAAGGGCCAGCCAACCACCAAAAGAAGGGAAGCAGTCCTGGCACGGGCCCTTGTCTCAAAGGGGTATCTGTATAGGCTTATCCTTTGAGGGCCAAGCAAACTTGTATGTACCCTGGACCACCCACTTCCAACCTTGCCTTAAATGCATAGAAAATCCAAGATGTTTACTTGTCTGTTTTGCTGAACACAACCCCCACCGTCCCTGCCCCCGCCCCCCAACCCAGATGCAGTTTCTTTTCTGTGTTCAGCTCAAGAAACACCTCTGAGATTCCCCTGACTTTGACTTGATTGCTAGGCTATAATGCATTCACAGCCTTCCCACCCTCATGATGTTTACCCTGCTGGGCGCGGTGGCTCACGCCTGTAATCCTAGCACTTTGGGAGGCCAAGGTGGGTGGATCACCTGAGGTCAGGAGTTCAAGACCAGCCTGGCCATCATGGTGAAACCCCATCTTTAAAAAAAAAAAAAAAAAAAAAAAAGATGTTTACCCTTAGATGTTTACCCTTATTTATTTTCAGTTCATTGTCAAACATAGGCCTTTGAAGTATTTAGTGCAGGGGCTTAGGATGACTTGAGAAATAAATGTCACCTCAGGTCTAATATCCAGCATCCTTTTACCGTGAATTTGTTCTAATTTGTTCTCCCTGGCTGTCACTCTGGGGAACTTCTAGCAGGTCAGAGGATCATGGTGACGCCCAGCTTGGGCTGGTTCATTACTAATTCTTCTTTGACAATGACTTTGTTTCTCTTGGGTTGCAGTTTCGAGGCAGGCGTAGATCCAAATCCCGGACAGGTGTGGATCGTGGGGTGGGCCTGACTGTCGACCAGAAACTCGAGCTAGTACAAAAGGAGCTGGAAGACGCAAAGGATGACCTACGGCACATGAGGGCAAATGCGGAACGCGAGCTGCAGCATCATGAGGTACACCTTCCTCCGGGCGCAGCCCGCAATGCCCAGGCTCCCCACCTCCACCCCGGTGAGACGTACCTGGAGTGGGTGCATGTGATTGTTGGGGCTTTGGAAGAAACGCTAGTAGAATGAGGAGAATCCAGAGCCTGTCTTTGAGAAACTTACCACCTGCTTGAGGGGACGACACATTTTTAAACTTTTTTAATGGAAATTTTAAAAATACACAAATGTAGAGAGACTAACACAACAAACCCCTATGTACTTAACACCCAGGTGCAGTGATCATCAACATAGGCCATCTCTTGGTTGATCAACTTTCACTTCATCTGGCTGGGTTACTAGGAAGTGAATTCTAGACATACTATTTCTCTGTACATATTTCAATATATATCTTTAATATATGAATTCTTTTTTTTTTTTTTTTTTTTGAGACAGAGTTTCGCTCTTGTTACCCAGGCTGGAGTGCAGTGGCGCAATCTCAGCTCACTGCAACCTCCGCCTCCTGGGTTCAGGCAATTCTCCTGCCTCAGCCTCCTGAGTAGCTGGCATTACAGGCACACGCCACCATGCCCAGCTAATTTTTAGTATTTTTAGTAGAGACGGGGTTTCACCATGTTGATCAGGATGGTCTCGATCTCTTGACCTCATGATCCACCCGCCTCAGCCTCCCAAAGTGCTGGGATTACAGGCGTGAGCCACCGCGCCCAGCCTAATATATGAATTCTTTTAGAAAACATAATCATGATAACACTAAATGATCTTAAAATTTTACAAAAATTTCTTAATACAGGGGGTTTGAGGTTTAAGTCAGCGTATTAGGGTTCTCAAGAGGGACAGAACCAATAGCATACATGTCTACGTGAAAGGGAGTTGGTTAGGGAGAATTGGCTCACATGATTACAAGGCAAAGTCTCACGTGATCGATCAGCTATCTGCAGGCTGGGAAAAGAAAGAAGCTGGTAGTGGCTCAGTCCAAGTCCGAATGCTTCAAAACCAGGGAAGCCAACAGTACAGCCTTCAGTCTGTGGAGCCCCAGGGAAGCTGCTGGTACAAGTCCCATGGTCTCAAGGCAAAGAACCTGGAGTCTGATGTCTGAGGGCAGCAGGAGCAGAAGCTATTGTCGGGCATGGGAAGAAGAGGGACAGCTAGAAGGCTCAGCACGCAAGTTTATCCACTTTCTTCTGCCTGCTTTGCTCTGTCTGCTCTGGCAGCCAGTTGGATGGTGCCCACCCACACTGAGGGTGGATCTTCTTCTCCCAGTCCACCGACTCAAATATCAGTCTCCTCTGGGAACACCCTCACAGATACACCCAGAAACAATACTTTGCCACCTATCTAGGCATCCCTGAATCCAGTCAAGTTGATACCTAATACTAACCATCACAGTCAGTGAATGGAGTGAAAAGTCCCTAGGTCAGCATTTCTATACAGCACACGTGCCCATGGTTCATGCCCTGTTACAGACCAATATAGTGTCTTTTAGTCCAATACAGTTTCCTCCAGAGAAGAAACATCACTGTTAATTCGGTTGCCCACAGGATGATGTTTTTGGCTTGCATTTGAGAGCCATGTTGTATGAAAAATAGACACTTCTGTTCTATTTATAAAGTTTTTCTATTTTTCTGTTTCTAAATGTGGGCATTCACAGAATCACACTCATCTCAAGAGGGACCAGTCTGTAGACTCATGTCTCCCATAAGACCATCTGTATCACATCAGCTGATCTCGCTCTCTCACCCCTCTCTCTTTCCAAACATGCATGGTTGCATTCTAGCAAGTTAAAGGAGTTTGGGATGTGGTAGCATTATCCTGACCTGCTAGGTTGTGCAGTGTAAGCATCAAATGCAGAGACATCAGTGTGGGCTAGAGTGGTCAAAATGAATTTGTTGAGGAGGTAGGGCTTAACAGGGACTTGGCATGATCTTGAAGAATGATGGCATCTGTTTAAAGCATAGGGAAAGAAGGGCACCCCAGGAAAGGAGAATGACATGAGCAACGCAGCAGAGGTGGGCACCAGCATGGCGAGCTCATGACATTGAGGAAGATGGTGCAATTAGAGAAGAGGATGCTTTGGAGGCTGCGTTAGGAATTCAGGTTGAGTAAGGCTACAGTTTCTTGACAGCCATGCCAAGGAGTTTATCTTTGATGTTTTAGAAAGCTGGACCCCACTGAGGATACTTGAGTTGGAGAGCAACATGTTGAAAGCAGCGTTTCAGGTGGATTAATGTTCTACCTCGTGGAGATGATGGGGCTGGGAAGAGGCTGGTGCCTGAGGCTGGCCAGTGAAAATGGTTTTGCTTCTTGGTGCCCAGAAAAAAAGCCTGAATTAGGATGATTTGCAGTCTGGTTACAGATACCATTCCATTTTACTTTTTAAAGTAATTATGTGGCTGGGCATGGTGGCTCATGCCCATAATCCCAGCACTTTGGGAGGCTGAGGCAGGCGGATCACGAGGTCAACAGATTGAGACCATCCATGCCAACATGGTGAAAAAAAATGATAATTTTGTGTGTGTGGTGTGTGTGTGTGTGTGTGTGTGTGTGTGTGTGTGTTCTTATTTCAAGTCAATCTATGTTGTAGAATATTGAAAAATACAGTTAAGCTAAAAGAACATTTGAAAAAATTCACAATTTACCACTCAGAGGTAATTTCTGTTGACTTTCCATTTACCTCCTATAGATAATTTTCTATGCATACATGAATTTCTTTTAAAAAATAGTATCACATTATTTTGTGAACTGTATTTTTCACCTAACATCTGTTTATGTCAATACAGATACTCATTTTGTAAAATCCTTTTTTTTTTTTGGTTTTCAGAGATGGGGCCTCAATGTATTGCTCAGGCTGGAGTGTAGTAGCTATTCATGGTCGTGATCATAGCACATGACAGCCTTGAACTTCTGGCCTCAAGTAATCTTCTTGCCTATGCTGGGACTACAGGCACCATACCTGTCTTTATAATATCTTCTTTATTTTTTTTCCATTCCTACCCCCCACAAATACTCAGGCTTGGAAATATAACATCTTTTTTTAAAAAGTAACAGAAATACCTAGTATGAGTGCCTCTTTATTTCCCCACTAATCCATCTCTGTAGATGTAACTGTGGTTCATGTTTTGATGTATATCCTTCCAGATATTTTAATGGATAAATAATTTTAAATATGGAAATGCATATTTAGATAGATAACTTGGCCAGGCATGATGGCTCATGCCTGTAATCCCAGCACTTTGGGAGGCTCAGGTGAGTGTATCACCTGAGATCGGGAGTTCAAGACCAGCCTGGTCAACATGGTGAAATCCCTTCTTTACTACAAATACAAAAACTAGCCTGGCATGGTGGCGGGTACCTGTAGTCCCAGCTACTCTGGAGGCTGAGGCAGGAGAATTGCCTGAACCCAGGAGGTGGAGGTTACAGTGAGCTGAATTTGTGTCATTGCACTCCAACCTGGGCAACAGAGCAATGGAGTGAGACTGTCCCAAAAAAAGAAAAAAAAAAAAAAAAGATAGATACCTGACACCCTGTTTTTGTTTGCTCTGTTTTTATGGATTCTATTTTTTGAAGAATGCATTTAACTAATAGCATTTAAGTAGTCAAGTTTGTATCTTAAGGATATGTTCCTAAGACTAAGAAGAAACATAATATTTGGGGACAAAAAGAGGCCTGGGAACTTAGGTTTCTCAGAGGACACATCCTTGAAGAGTTTTGGAAACGCTCTTCTCTCTTTGTGCTGACTCCCCCAGGCGATCATTGAGGAGGCTGAAATTCGATGGAATGAAGTTGAGAGAGAAGTGCACGAGTTTGAAAAAGATATTCTAAAAGCCATATCTAAGAAGAAAGGGAGTATTTTGGCCACTCAGAAAGTGATGAAGTACATCGAGGACATGAACCGCCGGAGGGTGAGTTTGCAGACGAGTTTGCAGACAGAGCTTAGAAAGGGAAAGCATTCTTCCAGGGATATTATGGAAATCATCCATGTGAAGCAGCCTAGCTCCATTTGGTCCACCATAAATGTTACCCACATATGCAGATTTTTTTTGCATCCCCTAAAGTGTGTGAGTATATGCATGTTCTTAAAAATGTCTGTATTAATACCTCTCTTTCAAAGACTGCATGCAAGTGCTTGCTGAAAAAATGAAGTGTACATGTACACAAGTGGCTAGGGACAGTTCATTCTTCCTGATCATGTCTTTTGTGAGATGCACATAACTGCTAGGCTGCCAGATAGTGAAATCAGTGGGAAACAGGAAAAATCGTAGGTTAGCTACATGTGCAGGAAATACAATCTGAATAGCCCTGCTGCAACACATTTAGATAGTAGTCTGTATGCTCCTTTCACAGGGATTTTGTCATTTATTTTACTGATGTAAATAAAGACTTTATTTTCTTAAAAAAAAAAAAAAATGTATGTGGCTGTGCACAGTGGCTCGCGCCTGTGATCCCAAAACCTTGGTAGGCTGAGGCAGGCGATCATCTGAACTCGAGGACCAGCCTGGCCAACATGGTGAAACTCCATCTCTACTAAAAATACAAAAATTAGCTGGATGTGGTGGCACATGCCTGTAGTTCCAGCTACCGGGAGGCTGAGGCACAAGAATTGATTCTGGAGGTTCAGTGAGCCAAGATTGCACAACTGCACTCCAGCCTAGGTGACAGAGCAAGACTCCATCTCGAAAAAAAAAAAAAAAAACATTAAATGCATGTTTATCAAGGCTAACATCAATAGTACTTCAGATTGATTTCTGTTTGTTTGTTTTGTTATATGTTTCAAGATCTGATGTATTTTCTTGAGAAAGGTATGAGGCTGGGCTGGTCCAACCTGTCTAGAGAGGTGACTTTGGAGTAGGACAGATAAATCTCTTTTTCAAATTTTTTAAAAAGCTTTAAAAAAGTTGTTATAGAGATGTGTCACCCAGGCTGGTATCGAACTCTAGGGCTTAAGCAGTGAACCTGCCTTGGCCTCCCAAAGTGCCAGGATTTCGGGGTAAATCTCAAGCTCTTTGAGTTCCTTTGTTATCAGGAGGTGGACCTTGGGCTGTTACAAGAAAAAAGGAGAATTGGGGGGTTACTCCTTCATTGCCAGAGACTTTACAACATGTCAAGCTACAGATCCTGGAGACAAAGTAGGGTTACTAACCCTAACATGTTAAAAGTGATAAAGGCCGGTGCAGTGGCTCACGCCTGTACTCCCTGCACTTTGGGAGGCTGAGGTGGGCAGATCAGGAGGTCAAGAGATGGAGACCATCCTGGCCAACATGGTAAAACCCTGTCTCTACTAAAAATACAAAAATTAGCTGGGCGTGATGGTGCACGCCTGTAGTCCCAGCTACTTGGGAAGCTGAGGCAGGAGAATTGCTTGACCCCAGGAGGCAGAGGTTGTGGTGAGCCAAGATCATGCCACTGCACTCCAGCCTGGCGACAGAGTGGGACTCCATCTCAAAAAAAAAAAAAAAAAAAAGAAGAAGAGTAATAAAATTATGTAAACTTCCATGGGAATACAAGACCAAAAAATCATAAGATCATTATGTCAGGAAAGGCCCCTACAGTAGTAGCATATACTCAAATAATATTGAATTTGAAAGCAATATAAAATTTGCATGGTGCAAAACCAGTGTCTTCTGCTTCTTGGTCATGAAATGTCATAGCAGCCCCAGCCTGAATAGAAGTAAAAGGACTTAAAATAAATGACAGAATGTTAGGGCTCAAGGTTTGGTTTGCAGCCCCAGAACTGTCCACTTTTCAAAGCAGTAGGAAAGAGGAGAGAAATGGATTAAATGCATTAAAATGTGCCTTTATTTTTTAGGATAATATGAAGGAAAAATTACGTTTGAAAAATGTTTCTCTCAAAGTTCAGAGGAAAAAAATGCTTTTACAATTGAGGCAGGTATGTGGTCCTTTCTCTCTCTCTCTCTCTCTCTCTCTCTCTCTCTCTCTCTCTCTCTCTCTGTTTCTTTTTAAGGTCACCGTGGTAGGCTGATTAAGGTTCTCACCCCCACTCCAAAATGTCCATATCCTAACCCCTGGAATCTGTGAATACATTACCTTATGTGGCAAAAAGGATTTTGCAGGTGTGATTAATTTCAGGATCTTGAGATAGGGAAATTATCTTGAATTAACTGGGTGGCCCTATATAATCTCCCTCCTTACCAAAGGGAAGCAGGAGGGTGAGAGAAGCTATGATAACAGAAGCAGAGACCAGAGCGATGAGCATTCATGATAGGGAAAAGGGGCCAGGAATCAAGGACTGCAGACAGCTTCTAGAAGCTGGAAATGACAAGGAAACAGATTCTCCCATAGAGGCTTGGGAAGAAATGCAGCCCTGTTGATTTGAGCCTCCAAACCCATGTCAGACTCCTGACCTCCAGAACCGTAAGATAATAAATTTGCATTAAAGCCACCAGGTTTGTGGTGATTTGTTACAGCAGCAATAGGAAACTCATACAATGACTGTGCAGGCAAATCAAAGCTTTTCTGTAGACAGAGTTGGCTTGAATTTGAAAGACCCTCAAGACATGCTTGTTGGCCCTTTCTGGGAAGTGGCCTGGGTAGCACAGTGATGTGTGCTTTGGTGTGTCATAGCATCGCCACCAGCTGACCCTAATGGCTCCTAATGAAAGGCAGTAAGGCAGACATGGCTTCGTCCTTTCCTAGCTCAATATTTTTATCACTAACTCGAATTTGGGCACTGATGGCATGCTCATCAAAGGGGGCTCCTGCCAAGGACACAAAACTGGGCAGGAGAATTAACATGTTGGGAGCCTATTGCTTGGGTGACTTGGGATCCAGAAAAACCTCAGCAAGCTGGGACAGATTTAACAGCATGACGTGACGAAGGACAAATGTAAGATCCTATACTTTTGGTCCCCCAAAATATCTGCTCAGGTACAGGATGGCTTAGTCATAGAGTATGTGATAAAGTCAGCTCGGCTGGTGGTGAGGCTGTGGCCTAGACTACGCTCATAGAAACACAGTGCCCAGACCAAGGAAGGGGTAGCCTTGCTGTACTCTGCATGCACATCCCCGACCTGGAGTGTCATGTCACAGCGTGAGCTCCACCCTTGAAAGCATTGGCAAACTAGAGTTCACATAGAGAGCAGGCCAGATGTCGAGAACAGAAACCATGTCCAAGAGCCTGAGACTGATGCACCCAAAGGAGAGAGGGCCCAGGAGGGCCACAGCCACTGTCTCCAAGTGCTCAGGGCTGCAGCAGGAAGGGAGAGCAGAGCTGGGGCCGTGGATGGAGGTGTCAGGGAAGGAGATTTGAATTCAGTGCAAGAAAAAGTTCTGCAGTGAGTCGTCCCAGTGGAGCTGTCTGCAGATCGTCAGTTCCTGGTGCTTGGGGATTCATGCAAGCCTGGGCATCTTGAAGAAGGGCTTTAAACTAGAGATGGAGAATAGATGGATGATCTTTAACCTTAATGCTGCTGCTGCACAGAAATAACACAGACACGGGCCCTGCCCTTGAGAGCTCATAGACTAGTGGGCAGCCATGTCATGAGAAAAGGTGTGTATGTTTAACTGTGTATACAGAAGCTACATACCAGGGACCACAGAGTTAAAGCTTTCAGGGGCTCAGCAGAGAGAGGGGTCACCCTCTGGTGTGGAAAACAGGTTGGGAGCATTGGAGCTAGAGGAATGATCATATTGGAACTTAAGGAAGTTGTGTTGTTTTGGGAAGGGGAAGAAGATGAATCCCCAGAGGTAGGACAGACAGCATGAGTGAGGCGTGGGAGTGAGGCACAGCAATCGGACTATTGTCTACCACAAATATAAAATGGCATAGGCCTGGCAGGACTGGTAAGGGGGCCAGGTCAGGGAGGGAACCTTATATACTCATGCACTGCAGGGCAGAAATAGCAGATGATCAAAGGAGGGGGAATCTATGGACTGCTTTTCTAGGGTTTTTCATGTTAAAAACAACTTTTACATGGCCTGATTCTTACTCTTCCTTCATGGCCCTGTTTAGGCACCACCCACTGTGGGATGCCCTCTGTGCATGACTCAGTCTTTCATCCACCCCTGGCCTGGCTTAGGGGCTTCTGTGTGCCCTCTGCCCCCCTCCCCAACATTCCCCCCGAACAACACATCCCACTGCACCACGCTGTTGAGTCAGTGGCTTGTCTGTAAACCCTCAGATGTACTCCATGGGACCAGGGAACATTGTATTTACTGAAATCTCTATTCCCAGATGCCCAGTATGTGTTTGTTGAATGACTAAAAGATGACTGACCTTCAAAGTCTTATCGAGTTGCAAGATGTGAGCCATACATTCAGAATCACAACTGATGTATCGTTTTTTTCTTTCATCTTTCTGAGCTGTAGAAGGAAGAAGTGGGTGAGGCCCTTCATGAGGTTGATTTTCAGCAGTTGAAGATAGAGAATGCTCAATTTCTAGAGACAATTGAAGGAAGGAATCAAGAACTGACCCAGCTAAAGCTGTCATCTGGAAACACTCTACAGGTCCTCAGTGCCTACAAAGTAAGGCCATTCCTGATGCCTACCCACCTCCTGCCACAAGGCTTTCCACACCCATCTTTCTGGCCACAGGGAGGTTCTTGTGCACTGCAGTTTCATACAGCGCTTAGGTGCCCCCTCGCTGTCAAGCCATGTCTCCTAAAATTCCCTGAATGCTCTCACAAACCTGGCTGTGCATGAGAACCAGAGTTTTTCTTTAAAAAAACAAACAAACAAACAAAAAACCCTATAGATAGGTAGATAGATAGATGATTGATGGATAGATAGATGATAGGTAGATGATAGATAGATAGACGACAGGTAGATAGATGATAGATCTAAATAGATAGATAATAGATGATAGATAGATAGATAGATAGATAGATAGATAGATAGATGGATGCCCGAGTCCCACCCTGACTAATTGAATTAAGAGGTGGGATCCATGCATCTTATTTATTTTGTTTTGTTTTTTTGTTGTGATTGTTAATTCCCCAAGTGATTTTTATTCATGGTGAGTTTTGAGAACTAACCACATTTAGAGCCCTGTTTAATTTGGCTCAAATGCGGTTAGTTCTCAACTCACCATGAATAAAAATCGCATTATAAGGACTTTATAAGCACTTTCCTATAAATCTGCTATAAATCAGAAAACTACTAAATAATTTGTCATCCAAACAGAACCCTTTTGGGAGGGAAAAGAGACACTATTAATAACTAAGCAGAGACTATAGACACACACAGGGCCTGACCCCAGCAGACCAGGCCATCTGAGCACCCTGCTAGAGACCATCTAATGCAATATTCAGCAACTGCAGGCTGGTGTATCCCACCCACTGCCCTGTAAGCTAAGAATGGTATTACAGAAGAACCTTTATAACCGATTTGATGATAGAAAACACTAACTTGAAATCAAATGAAGCAAAATTGGTTTCTTCCCCAGAAATTCCATTTCTTTCATTAGTAGACCTGTAGTCTAAAATATTGTACTCAATGATTATCTTTTGAATTGACTCAATACAACATTGGTAGGATTTTTTTTTCTCTTGTTAATATAAGTACTTAATATCCACAGTTTTGCTTCTGGGCTTGCAAAGCCTAAAATATTTACTATCTGGTCCTTTACAGAAAGGTTTTGCCGACCCCTCATATAGTGCCCAGGTGGCAATGGTGGCTGTGGGCTTAGGTAGCTTGCAGGTGTGCTTTGTTTGGCCCACATAGTTTGAAAATGTGAATGTGAATGTGTGTAGACCAGGTTTATGTTTGTTCGACATTTTCCTTTTACAAATGAAAAAATTGAGGGCCAAAGATACACAATAGATAGGATGCAGTGGCTCATACCTGCAATCCCAGCACTTTGGGAGGCCTAGGCAGGCAGATCACCTGAGGCCAGGAGTTCAAGACTAGCCTGGCTAACATGGCAAAACCCTATCTCTACTAAAAATAACAAAAAATTATCTGGACATGTTGGTGTACACTGTAATCTCTAGCTACTTGAGAGGCTGAGGCACAAGGATGGTTTGCACCCCCGGGGGCACAGGTTGCAGTGAGCCGAGATCATACCACTGCACTCTAGCCTGGATAACAGAGCAAGACTGTGTCTCAAAAAAAAAAAAAAAAAAAAAAAAAGCAGAATATTAGCCAAATTCAAGCAACAAGTTACTGACAGAGCTGGGACTCCCAGTCTGGCATGCATCCCACCTAACTCAGTGTGTATCCCACCCAACTGCCTTTCCCAGCAGAAAGTATGTAGAAAACAGTGTGTCGGCATTCTGAAATTTATGTGTCGTAAACATCCAACAGATCTTCCACTTTTAGCTTCTCTTATCAGTTTTTAGCTTATCTGATCACTATTATTTCTAGAGGAGGCCGATTCCTGTGACTTCCAGGTGCTTATTGCCTGGAGAGTGAATTGTACTTGGTTAGATTACATTGGACCTTGATCTTCTCCTTCAGAATCAATTAAGTAGCACAGGCCTGCCTGGTCTTGTAGGGGGAAAGCCAAGGTTTTGGAAATGGAGCTACTGATTTTTAAAATCAAACTCCCAGGCTGCAGGACCTGACCTCTTTAGGATGGGTCTAAACGCACAGTGCAGATTGCTTGCAGTACCTGAGATCAGTAGCACAGGCCACAGTGGGCAGAGTGAGCCATTCCTGGGGGAAATGGAGGCAGCAGAGCTGACTTGTGGAGTCAGACCTTGCCTGTGCTTGAATAGGGGCTCCTCCTTCTGGGGGAGGTGCTTCATCCGGGCAAGATTCTTCACCTCTTATTTTATTTTTTTTGAGATGGAGTCTTGCTCTGTCGCCAGGCTGGACTGCAGTGACACGATCTTGGCTCATTGTAACCTCCACCTCCCGGGTCCAAGTGATTCCCCTGCCTAAGCCTCCCAAGTAGCTGGGACTACAGGCCCGGGCCACCACAGTCAGCTGATTTTGTATTTTTAGTAGAGATGGGGTTTCACTACGTTGGCCAGGATGGCCTCAATCTTTTGACCTTGTGATCCACCTGCCTCGGCCACCCAAAGTGCTGGGATTACGGGCATAAGCCACCATGCACGGCCCAGTTCTTTACCTCTTAGAGGCAAGTTTTGTGTCACCAGGATGGTGCTCTGTCTAGTATGTCTTGTGTCCCCAGCATCAAGGACAGTGCCTGGCTGAAGCAGGTACTTGGCCAATATTGTTGAATGAACTGCTCACAGTATAGGTGTGTACTTGGTAGGCATGGGAGGATGACAGGAGGGGCCACTTTGATATAAATATCAAACATTCATTCTCCCAGCCAGCAATCACAAAATGAAAATAAAGAAATAAACATCAAACACCCAAGTGTGAAACCTTGTTAAAGGCATGCAGAATAACTTTTCTCTATACCAGGTGTCCCCAAACTACGGCCCGTGGGCCGCATGCGGCCCCCTGAGGCCATTTATCCAGCCCCCCGCTGCACTTCAGGAAGGGGCACCTCTTTCATTGGTGGTCAGTGAGAGGAGCACAGTATGTGGCGGCCCTCCAATGGTCTGAGGGACAGTGAACTGGCCCCCTGTGTAAAAAGTTTGGGGACGCCTGCTCTATACTAAAAGTACCAATACCTCCAGTAGGGTAGGCACCCAGCTAAGTGTTAAGGGTGCAGCATTTAGACAGCACCAGGCAGAAATGGGCTCTTCTCTTCTGTGAATTTCATATGTGAGCCCGAGTCAAGGTGGTAACTTTTTCTCTGACTTTATGCCCTCTGACTTTATGCCGCCTCTGCCCGGTGGAGTCTGGTGGGATGTAAGCATGTGACAACTGCTGTGCTGAGTCACGCCGGACTGACTATAAACTAGTGATTTGGGGCCATGTAGGTAGAATTCTAAGATGTCCCCAAGACTCCCCACCCCCTGGGGTCTACACCTTGTATAATCTCCAGCCAGGACTGTGAATATGATGGGTTCAGTTATTAAGTTCTGTTCTGTTCTGTGATTCAGTTACACCATATAGCACAGTTGACCTAAAGATAGGGGCAATCACCTGCTTGGGCCTGACCTAATCACACGAGTCCTTTGAAAGTACAGATTCGCCCGGGTGTGTTGGCTCACACCTGTAATCCCAGCTCTTTGGGAGGCCGAGATAAGTAGATTACCTGAGGTTGGGAGTTCGAGACCAGCTTGAACAACATGGAGAAATGCCGTCTCTATTAAAAATACAAAAAATTAGCCAGGTATGGTGGTGCATGCCTGTAATCCCAGCTAGTCAGGAGGCTGAGGCAGGAGAATCACTTGAAGAGGCGGAGGTTGCAGTGATCTGAGATTGCGCCATAGCACTCTAGCCTGGGCAACAAGAGTGAAACTCCATCTAAAACAAAACAAAACAAGTTTCTCAGCTGGGTGTGGTGGCTCACCCCTGTGATCCCAGCACTTTGGGAAGCAAAGGTGGGTGGATGATAAAGTCAGGAGATCGAGACCATCCTGGGCAACACGGTGAAACCCTGCTTCTACTAAAAATACAAAAATTAGCCAGGCATGGTGGCATGCACCTGTAGTCCCAGCTACTTCGGGGGCTGAGGCAGGAAAATCACTTGAACCCAGGAGGTGGAGGTTGCAATGAGCCAAGATCATACCACTACACTCCAGCCTGGTGACAGAGCAAGACTCCATCTCAAAAAAAAAAAAAAAGTACAGAGTTTCTCTGGAAGAGGAAATCATAGATGCGAAGCATGAGGGGAAATGGCTGGAGGAAGTGTTCTCCATTGTGAGCTTGAAGACAGAGGTGTTACGTGGAAGGGATCCAAGAGGGGCCTCTGGGAGCTGAGAGTGACCTGCTGACAGCCCAAAAGAAAACAAGGGCCTTGGTCCTACAGCTTCAAGGAAGTGCCCTTCTGCGAACAACAATAAGTGAGCTTGGAAGAGGACCCTGAGCCCCTGACAAGAACCACAGCCCTGGCGAACACCTTGATTTCAGCCTGATGGGACCCAGGGGGAGAATCCAGCCACACTGTGCCCAGACTTCTGACCTATGGATGCTATGATGGGTGTTGCTTTAAGCCATAAAAATTTGTAGTAATTTGTTACATAGCAATAGAAAGTGAATGTAGTCGTTTTCAGAAGTGGCCTCACATCTTGACTCAGCATCACCAATTCCGTTCTCATCAACCTTCGTGAAGACCTGCCCCAGCAGAGCCAGTCATGGCCTCGCTGTGCCCTGGAAGTTCCTTCCTTCCCGCTCTGCCGCTCTAAGTTGTTGACCGCTTGTCTGCCCTCTGCTCTTCCTCCCACCTAAATTACTGGTTTGCAGCAAAATTTTGCCCCATCTCCCCAGCCCCACAGCTGACTCCATCAGTCTGGTCTCATTCACTTTCGCTTTCCTTAGCAGAGCAATTTTCATGCAGGACGTGGAACAGGAAATGAGCCTTAAAGAAGTGAGGCCTGGAAATAGGAGTGCAGAAAAGAATGGTCCCTGGGTGCCAGAAGGTCCCCCAGGCAGGTGGTTCTGGGCTCCCCTGTTTTGACACCCTGGGGCAATGCCCTTGCCCCCACCTCCTGCCTTCACTTTGACTATGGCCCTGCTGTTCTCCACCCACTCTCCCAGCTCCTGTTAGATCCTCCTCTCCTCGGTTCTTTCCTTATCTTGGAATGTTCTCTTCTCTCTTCACCTTAACATATGGACTCAACCTTTCAGCTCAGCTCTCTTTCCAGCTGCTTTTTTTTTTTTTTTTTTTTTTTTTTTTTCAGGAAATCCTCGTCCAGCCACTGTCCTGGTATTCTCACAGCATGGCACAATTGCAGTCTTACATTTCTTCTTGCAATTATTTGACTGCATCTCTTCCACTGTGCAGGCTGTGAGCCGACTTCCTGGTGGCAGAGCCTAGTTTGCTTCGCTGGCCAGTGCTTGGTGCAGGGACTGGAACCTGGTGGGTGGGTTTTCGGGGTTTGTTGAGCGAGCTCACCCAGATCACTGTGTCTTTCCCTTGGCCCACTCCTCTGCCTAGCAGAGCACATCTCAGCTCCTCTGGACTGACTCTTCCCCACTAGGAGAGAGTGGCCAAAAGAGGGCCAGTCTAAGAAGCAGGGGCCTGCAGGAGTCGGTGAAGGGCAGATGATACCCTGGAAATCTTCAGGGCTGCTCTTGCAGGACTCCTCTAAAACTAGTAGGCCCAGCTTCATTCGGAGATGAGACAGTGGTGGAGCCTGTGGGCTATGGAATCTTACTGTCTGGGCTCAACTCCTGGCCCCCTCCTTGTCTCTGTGACCTTGGGGAAATGGTTTTACCTCCCTAAAGGTCAGTTCTCTCACCTATAAATGGGGATAGCAGTAGCGCCCACCTCATGGGGAGTACTCCCCACTCTCCATCCACATGAGATCGTCTCAGCAGCTGTTTGTTAAATGTTTTCCATGTACCAGGCACCATGCTTAGCGCTCTACAGTAGTAGCGCCCACCTCATGGGGAGTACTCCCCACTCTCCATCCACATGAGATAGTCACGGCAGCTGTTTGTTGAATGTTCTCCATGTACCAGGCACTGTGCTCAGCGCTCTACCAGGTTGTCTCCTGTAAACCTCTCCACAACCCTACATGGTGACTGGACCCAAGTTTAGAGAGGTTCTGCGACCTCCCCAGAGAGCTCCTTAGTGAGTAGCGGGGCAGGATTTAGGTCCCCGTATGCCTGACCTCTCTGCCTGTCCTGCTGAGGACAAGATGCCAAGGTCCTCTCCTCCCTGCCCAGTTCTCAGGCATCAGGATCTGGAAAATCTGGGCAACCATGAGAAGGGCAATTTGGATTTCCCGGATGGTCCTGCTTTTCCGTTTGTTAACCAAGAGCTGTCTCCCCTTCGTGCGGTTCTGAGAGGTCACCTTAGCTCAAGACTTGCCATGTTGTTATATTTCAGAGCAAGCTTCACAAGGCAATGGACATGTGCATCAATCTGGACAAGGAGATCTTGCTGAGGAAAGAGCTACTTGAAAAAATTGAAAAAGAAACACTACAAGTAGAGGAGGTAGGTGAGGGCCAAATGTGGTATTTCTGCTGTTTGTCTCCTTGTGTTTATAAGGGCTTGAGTCAGGGTCCGCCAAGATCTAAGCCACCTTGCTGGTTTATCTAGAAAAGCCTAGACCATCAAAATCAAAATAGCTCTGGGCCATCAAAGCACAGAGTGGCACCTGGAGACCTACAGTCCAAGTTGTGTCACATTTTACTGCTGGGTTAGGTTCTAGAGTCAGCTCAGAAAACAAAAATTTCATAGAGTCCAAATAACATTTGGGAATTCCTTAAGTGACCCATAAAGTACAGTATTCAGTGTCGTGTCCACAACCCCATGAAAAATGTTCAATGCATATAGTAATGTATCTGATAGGAAAAAAAATACAAATGCCAAAATAGAACATTTGATGTAAAGGAGAGACAGAGAGAGAGAGGTCATAACCATCTGACATCTCACCTGGTACCCAGGCTGGATGCTCGCAGCCTGAGTAGCCTGTAGCAGAGACCAGCTGAAGAACAGTAGACCTGTGACCTCTGTCCTGGGCTCACTCCAAGGCCTGTGGTCACTGTGTGAAGAGGTGAGTGGAGTCATCTGAGCTCCCTGCCTGTCTAAATTGCAATTTAGCTCTCATTACTTTGCTGAGCATTGCTAGCTGAATTTCCGTAACTTAAATGTACATAGAATGTGATGCAAAGAGAACTTTTCGGGGAGGGCGCAGGAGAAAGAGTGCTGGACTCATGATCAGAAGGCCTAGCATCAGGTTTGGTGCTGCCAATTTCTAGTCTTGAACAAGCTTTTAAATAGATGGGACTGTTTCCACATCTGTGAAATAGATCTATTGCCCTTAGTGTAGTGGCTACAGAGGACCACATATAATGACGCTTTGTCAACCCCTAAAACTGTTTGTATGATTATTAGTGTCAGTGTCTTGTGTGGGCCTGAAGTGTCTCCCTTAGTGTGTGTGGCCCCAAATTTGCCTACAATGGCCCCAAAGCCACAGGATTATTAACATCTAAGTTTTGTCACAGCATACACATTATATTCTCGATGGAGAACTAACGCCTTCTGCAAAAAAAAACAAAACAAAACACCCAGTCTCGATACAGAGTGGCAAGTAGCAAAGTTAAAGCAAAAACCTGTGAACTCTCTTAATGCAGAATTACTGTGGTTCTTATTTTTCCCTTGGGTTGATAGTTATTAGATTACAAGTAAAATTTAAAATTGATTTTTTTTTAAAGCCTGGCATTTACTGCTTAGTATATTGTAGGTTTCTTGTTAACGTCTTGAAAATAGCTTTATTGGGATTCAGTTTATATACCCTATAATCACCCATTTAAAGTACATTTCAGTGGATTATAATATATTCACAGAGTTATGTAACCATCAGCACAGTAATTTTCGAACATTTTCATCACCCCAGAAAGAAACCCTGCACCCATTAGAAATCCTTCCTCACAGGACAGGTGTGGTGGCTCCTCCTGTAATCCCAGCACTTTGGGAGGCCGAGGCGGGCAGATCATTTGAGGTTAGGAGTTTAAGACCAGCCTGGCCAACATGGCGAGACCCCCGCCTTTACTAAAAATACAAAGATTAGCCAGGCATGGTGGAGGCTGAGGCAGGAGGATTGCTTGAGCCTGGAAGGTGGAGGTTGCAGTGAGCTGAGATCGCACCACTACACTTCAACCTGGGTAATAGAGGGAGACTCCGTCTCAGGGGTGGGGGGAATGAAAGAAAAAATTTTTCTCCGTTCCCCACCACAGCCCACTCCCACCCTCCAGCTCTCAGTGGCCACTAATCTACTTTCTGCCTCTGTGGATTCGTCTGTTCCGGACATTTTATGTAAAAGAGATTATATAATATGTGGTCTTTTATGAGTGGCTAATCATGTGTTTCTTTTTATGGCTGAATAATATTTCATTGTGTGGACAGACCGCATTTTATGTATCCACTCATCAGTTGGTGGACGTTGGGTTTCCACTTTGGGACTCTCATGAGTAATTCTGTTGTGAACATTCTGGTACAAGTTTTTGTGTGGATATGTGTTTTCTTTTCTCTTGGCGTATTTTCTTTTCTCTTTGACATATTCCTAAAAGTGGAATTGTAGTTATACATGGTAATTCCATGTCTAACACCTAGAAAAACTACCAATCTGTTTTCAAAAGTGGCTGTACCATTTTGCATTCCCACAGTGTATGAGGGTTCCACTTCTGTACATCTCTCTTATCCTCAGGTTTTCTTTAATGGCCATCCTACTTGCTATGAAGTGATATCTCGTTGTGGTTTTTATTTGAATTTGCCTAATGACATGGGGCATCTTTTCATGTGCTTATTGGCCACTTGTCTCTTTCTTTGAGAAATATCTAGGCAAGTCCTTTGCTCCGTTTATAAGTGGGTTATTATCTTTTTAACTTACCTATTGTAAGTTGAAAATACCATAAGTCAAAAATGCATTTAACATACCTGACCTAAACATTATTGCTTAGCCTTGCCTATCTTAAATGTGCTTAGAACACTTACATTAGCCTACAACTGGGAAAAATCTTCAAACACAAAGTCTGTTTTATATAGGGTGTTGAATGTCTCATGTAATCTATTGGATACTGTACTGAAAGTAAAAAACAGAAGGGTTATACTGGCACTCAAAGTGTGGCTTATACTACATGTATATTGCTTTTGCACCATCTTAAACTAAAAAAAAAACTTAAATTGACCCATTGTAAGTCAAAGATCACCTGTATAAGATTCACAAATATTTTCTTCCATTTTATGGATTTTCTTTCACTTTCTTGATACTTTTTTCTGTAGCACAAATGTTTTTAATTTTGATAGAAGTCCAGTTTATCCATTTTTTTTTATTTTGAGCTTGTGCTTTTGGTGTCATGTGTAAGAAGCCATTGCCTTACTCCATATCATGAAGATTTACTCCTCTGTCTTCTTTTAAGAGTTTTATAATTTTAGCTCTTATGTTTAAGTTTATAATCGATTTTGAGTTGTTTTTTTTTTTTTTTTTGAGACAGAGTCTAACTCTGTCACCCAGGCCGGAGCACAATGGCACGATCTCAGCTCACCGAAACCTCCTTGTCCCAAGTTCAAGCAATTCTCCTGCCTCAGCCTCGCCAGTAGCTGGGATTACAGGCGCCCACCACCACACCCGGCTAATTTTTTTGTATTTTTAGTAGAGATGGGGTTTCACCATGTTGGCCAGGCTGTTCTCAAACTACTGACCTCAAGTGACTCCCAAAGTGCTGGGATTACAGGCATGAGCCACTGTGCCCGGCTGATCTTAATTTTTTTAAAATGCTTTCTATTAAAAGGGCTAATTAATTTTACCATATGATAATTTTTAAATAAATATTTAAAAGACAAAGATTACTCAGAAAATGGAATTACCATCAGTTCTAGCAATTCTGCATCTGAGAATATGCCCAAAAGAATTGAGAAGGGAATTGAACAGATTTTTGTACACCCATGTTGACAGCACTGTTCTTCATAATAGCCAAGAATTGGAAACAACCCAAGTTTATCCAATCAATGGATGAATGGATAAACAAATCAAACGAGGTATATCCATACCATGGAAAACCACTCCATCTCAGTAAGGAAGGACATTCTGACACACACTACCATCTGTAGGAAACTTAAGGACATTATGTTAAGTGAAATAAGCCAGAAATAAAAGGACAAATATGTATGATTCCCCTTATATGAGGTAGTCAGAGTAGTCAAATTCACAGAGACAGAAAGTGGAACGGTGGTTGCCAGGGGCTGGGAGAGGAAGGAAGGAGGAGTTACTGTATAATGGGTACAGAATTTCAGTTTTACAAGACAAAAAGAGTTCTGGAGATGGATGGTGGCGATGGTTGCCCAAGAATGCGAATGTACTTAACGCTGCAGAACTGTATCGTTAAAAATGGTGAAGATGGTACATTTTATGTCATATAAATCTTATAATTAAAAAAAGACATGGAAGTGAATTGAGTCTGATCAAAGTATACTTAAGTACCCAATTTTTCACACACAGAAAACCCTAAGAAGTCAAAATAAGTACAACATATTCCTTAATAAAGAAGAGGAAGAGGAAGGAGGGAAGGGAAGAAAGGGAAGGAGAGAGGAAAGGAATGAAAGAAACAAGACTGTTTAGACTGCACTAGGTGTTTCTGAACTGGATTAAAACACGTTTAGCAAAAAATCAGAATCTTGTGATTCTCACCCCTCCCGAACCTCTTTGAAAATGTAAACATCGGCTCGGCGCAGTTGCTCACGCCTGTAATCCCAGCACTTTGGAAAGCCTAGACAGGTGGATCACCTGAGGTCGGGAGTTCGAGACCAGCCTGGCCAACCTGGTGAAACCTCGTCTCTACTAAAAATACAAAAATTAGCTGCGTGTGGTGGCGGGCACCTATAATCCCAGCTACTCGGGAGGCTGAAGCAGGAGAATTGCATGAACCCAGAAGGTGGAGGTTGCAGTGAGCTGAGATCGGCCATTGCACTGCAGCCTGGGTGACAGAGAGAGACTCCGTCCTCCCCGAAAAAAAAAATTATTTTTGGAACTCTATTGAAACTGTGGGGAGAGATGGCAGGGCCAGTGAGTTCTCAAAGCAGGAGCTGCTGGGGTAGCCTGGGTGTAACTGCTCCTTCCCAACCCAGGACCGGGCCAAAGCCGAGGCAGTGAATAAGAGGCTCCGGAAGCAGCTGGCCGAGTTCCGGGCACCGCAGGTGATGACTTATGTCTGGGAGAAGATCTCAAATGGGGACCTGGAGAAGAGCATCAAGATGTGGGAAAGGAAAGTGGAGATAGCAGAGGTGAGCCACGGGGAGCCCCAGGATGGGCAGTCTTTTATGTCCTCCATGTTTTCATTTAGGATTTTGATCTTTGGGCTAAGAATACAGATGTTTGGATGCATAATTTCTGGGAGAAATCTCAGCAGTTGCTTTAACTATGAAACCAAGATGAAGGATTTTTTTTTTTTTAAGTTCCCCCTTTTGTATCGTTAGGGGCAAGGTCTTTTCCGTTTTCAGGGAGAAACTCTGTAGTAATCATGTGTTTTTAGTTGCCTGTTTTCTTAATTAATTCTAGAAGTCTCTGAATCCCTCTGCACTGGTAATTTAGTAATTGCTACTTTATAGATGGAGAAGCCAGTTTTTAAAAAAATGAGATAATGATGGATTTTTTAATATCACTCAGAACCTCATTCCCTGCATGTACATAGTTGCCTGGGTCTTTCTGCTTGTGAACAAATCCCGCAGACTTTGAATATGGTACTGTGTGACAGGAAGCATGCTTGCTTGTGTGAGCTGCGGGAGATAAATGGGCAATGGGAAAACTATGCTGGTGTCAGAAGAAAGACAAACACCCAGGCTGCAGACTGAGGTCACTCAAACCATCATCAGAGTAGCTTAGAAAGCCAGTCAGGTCACTTGGGAAACTGGGACCTTGGTGTTTTCACATCTAGCTCCTGGCTCCCATTTCCTGTGTTACTTTCTCCCATGTCTCCTGCGGCCATTTTGTAGCGGAGGGTAAATTAGGATCCAAACTTGAGCCCCTCAGATCTGGAGTTGAGAAGTAGCAGAATTGTGGCAGGAACGTGCAACTTCTCACTTCACTGAACAGAAACATGCTCTACAGAAGGATCTTCCGGGTGGGTGCTGCCCCTTGGTAGCCCCTGCACTACATTGTGCATGGAGGGCACACCGCCCCACACAGGGTCGCCTGCACCATCACGGGGCTGGATGAGGGTTGCATTATGAATAGCCACAATTGGTTTTTCCCAAGTGACCTTCTCTCCCGACTCCTTTATCTTTTTTTTTTTTTCTTTTCTTTTTATTGGCAGATGTCCTTAAAAGGCTACCGTAAGGTTTGGAATCGAATGAAAACAACCAATGAGCAGTTGCAGGCAGATTACCCTGATGAGAAGTAGCCAGAGGCAGGCCACAGCTTACAGACCCAGATGTCAGCTATTAAAGTAATCAGCTCCTTTCTAGTCACGGGCTCTTCTCACTGTTCCCTGTCTGCCTGGTGTTCCCAACTTCCTAGCCAGGCTGAGCATCACCTCTTGGGCCACATCTGCTCATTGGGGAGTGTTTTCACAGCCTGGTCGCTAGAACTGTTACCACTGAAAGAACCACAGGGCACACTAATGGTTTGACACTTGTTAGCCTGCATTTAGTTCACAAGCACAGTGAAAGTGACCTTCCCACACATGGCAGTGAGACAGAGGAGGGAGAACCAGCCCAGTGTGCACCATGGGTGTATCGTGGCAGCTCTGGTGTGCCACTATCAAAAACAGACACCAAAACAGCATGGTGAATGCCTGGCACCCAGCGTTCTGAGCTTACTCTTCAGTTTGGTGGGGTAGCTCCTGGACTAGATATTGCTGCAAAAGAAAACAAGCACAAAGGAAACCAAGATGATTTCTTCGAGCTGATGCAACCTGTTCTGACCTGCAGAAGACCCACCTTCCCCTACCTCCCCACCGTAATAGTCATAGTATAAGGGTTGTGCAGACGCCTCAGGAGACCTGCCTGATTCCCTTACACCCTTCTCCCTAAAATCTAGACCATCCCTAGATGCTAGCTGGGAATGCATGGTGGTCCTTCTTTGTCCCTGGAAGTATGATTCAATATGGCTCAGTTCAGAATCAGAATATGTCTTCTGTGTCATGGCATTTGGTCCATGGTGGGAGAAAGAAATCAACTTTTCCCAGTGGTGAAGTGAAGACAGGGGAGGGCCGGCCGTCTCAGCCTTGGACGTGATCCAGTTGCTGTAGTCTTCCACCTTGGTGTACAGAAACAGGCCGGGGCACGGCTCACCACCGAAGTTCAGGACTCCTCTCAGAACCCACAGATCGAACTGCTGTAGCTGGCACATCATTGGGCTTCCTGGGTCCCCCTGTGACAAAAGACAGAAGGCTTCAGGTCTTGGAAAAACTAGTATTTGTTGTAAGTCTATCCTTGTGCAATATACTTTTTATTCTAGAAATGTTTATACTGCTTCTCACTGGAAATGGGGCAAATGATAGGATACGATTTCAAATCTAGGCAGCCACCAACATGGATTCCAACAAGATGACTTTTCCTTTTATTATGCAAATCAGCTGTGACTTCTTCCAGTTGCCTATAGCTTCCTGGTTCATATTTCATTTTCTTGCCCCTTTCCAGTCCTTTGGCCAAACCCTCCCTCTCTTCTGGCTTCTCATTCCTAAAATGTTGGTGTTTGTTACCATTCTGGCCTGAAATGCTCACCTTTTCCCTTCTCCTCTCTGCCTTGCTTCGACACTTAGTTTAAGCCACTTCCTGCCACCTGGCAGCTGCTCACCGGCTGGCTGGCCGTGCTCTTGGTTTTCGCCATTCCCAAGGGAGCAGTCCTCTGGGACTTGGGAATTCTGCCACACACACTTTACCTAACTCAAGGCGAGGGAGTAGAAGCTTGGCATCCTTAGCTAGATATGAGACCTTGGCAAGTGACCAAATCCTCTCTGAGCTAAAGAGGGAACACAGTTATATGTTCCCACTGTAATACCCCGCACAGCACAGTGCCTGGCACAGCAGGCACTAAGTGGAATATTAGCTACCATCATCTTGATGTCTCTACAAAAGCCATCATCTTTTGAAAAGTTGGAGAAAATGGAAAAGCAACAAGGCAATTCCTAGGTATCCTTTGTCTCACCCGTCGCGACCCCACACTGCTAGGTCTCCTCTCAAAGGAATTCCTGCCCCTCCCGTGGCCCATCTTGGTCGGAGAAGGGGGTGGTCATCCCCAGGTTAGCCAGCCGCCTCTGACCTGTGTGGCCTGCCTGGCTGGAAGGCCCGGGCAATAACATGTTGCTCTCATGGTTTGGAGTGGGGCTGCAATTAATCACAGGAAACAATCTGAACAGACTCAACCACAAACAGCAGAAAGGCAGAAAAGCGGCCACCTCAACCCCCCACTCCCTCCCCCTTTTTTTTTGAGATGGAGTCTCTCTCTGTATCCCAGGCTGAAGTGTAGTGGTGCAATCTTGGCTCACTGCAACCTCCACCTCCCAGGTTCCAGAGATTCTCCCACCTCAGCCTCTTGAGTAGCTGGGGCTACAGGCATGTGCTACTATACTCAGCTAATTTTTTTTGTTCTGTTTTTGAGATGGTGTCTTGCTCTGTCGCCCGTGTTGGAGTGCAGTAGAGAAATCTCGGCTCATTGCAACCTCCTCTTCCTGGGTTTAAGCGATCCTCCTACCTCAGCCTCCCAAGTAGCTGGGATTATAGGCGCCCACCACCATGCCCAGCTAATTTTTTGATTTTTAGTAGAGACAGAGTTTCATCATGTTGGCCAGGCTGGTCTCAAACTCCTGACCTCAAATAATCCGCCCACCTCAGTCTCCCAAAGTGCTGGGATTACAAGCATTAGCCACCATGCCCAGCGGGGTATTCTCTTTCAATAAAGCTCCCTTTTTTCCTCGGAATTCACACCAGAACAGAGATGAAGAAACCCATAGGCAGATTCTGAACCTGGTGCTTCATTCTATATGTGGGAACTGTGGCTCTGAAGACCTCTGCACATAAGAACATATTTCCAAGAGAGAATTCTAAGGGGACAGGTCACCATTAAATGGCATACAAGCATAATTCTGTTCAAAAATTAACACCTGTTTAGAGGTGTGCCACAGTTAAAAACCAACCTGAACTTTGCAGTTAGATTTTAAAAGATGATCACTTAGAGCATAAATAGCTTAGGATCTTCCGTTGAGTCGAATATACAGTTAGAAATCAACATCTTTGAAATTAGGATGTGTCTTTTAATCAGTTGACTTCAGAGTTGAACTGGCAGCAGTTTTTTCTTTCTTGAGATTACATAAAGTGATGGTGCATTCTATAATTGGCAGCATCTTAGATCAGATGAAGGATAACACTTGTTTGATGGAATGGTTGGGGGCAGAATTTTGTTAAAAAGCTGTATCTTCACTGTATTTTAACACATTATCTAATTTAAGAAATTGTTAAGGTTCCCCCACCTGGCAGAGGACCCAGTACAGAGTAGCTACTCAATAGATGTTACACCAACTTTGGAAGGGCAAATTTGTTTCTTAGCGGGAGGCAGTCCTTCATGCTTTTGCAATAAAATGACTTTTAGAAAGAATTATCTGTGTATCTGTATTTTTTTCTCATTGTTCTAAAAATCCTGCCCTTCTGGATCCTCTAGGGAAAAAAAAAAAAAAAATTCCCCATCAGGGTGTCCTGAAGGTTATTTAGAGGAGAGTGGGTGATAAGCCTCTTAGAAAAGCAGTTCTAGACTAGAGGAGAGAAACTCTATCTGGATATCTGGTAGGCCTAGGTTCTTGTCTTTGCTCTGACTTTTATTGACTGTGTGACCCCACTAAGCCACACTTTCTCCAGATTTGGATATGAAGGAGCCTGAACCAGTTGTGTGTGACTTCTACACATTGTTTTTGAGGCAGGAAGATAGCCACATCTGAATAGCCCTCATCTGGCTGGAGGGTAGGGCGTCTCACAGAAGAAAAACCCAATAAGCGATAGCATTGGAGGGGAGTCTAGCTTCCTTAGAAGCTAAATACAGCAGCCCCGCACTGTAAACCTGCTCAAAGTATATCTGCCTGTGTGGTTTGGCCTCAGACTTTCACATTTTTAGCTAGTTAAAAAGCACCCGTGACTTACAAAGCTTCAACATTGAAAATCATGACTGGCCAGTTCATTCAGCAGGTTTTTATTGAGTGTGTACTGTTTGCCAAGTGCTATTCACTCCAGAAACAGCCACTAATCCCAAACCCTAGTCTCTGCCCTCACAGAGCTCCCCATCTAGGGAGGGGGAGTCCCGAGGCTCCCCTGGATGTCACCAAGGCTTACTCTCAACACTTAGCTTCTGCTCCATGATGTTCTTACCAAGCAGACAGTCTTGGTTTCCTCTTTCATGTGGCTGCCGCATTCTGTCTTCTGGATTTTGTGTAGGGGACACATGTCAACATCTTTCACGAAGATTTTCCTCAGGATACTCATCGTCATGTGATTTCCTGTCTGAACCGTGCAACAGAGAGCCCAGGGGTTACTAACGAGAAGGCAGTCCGCTAAGTCAACACAACTCCCACTCACATAGCCAAACGAGAGTGAAATTTTTTTTTTTTTTTTTTTTTGAGATGGAGTCTTGTTCTGTCACCCAGGCTGGAGTGCAGTTGCGTGATCTTGGCTCACTGCAACCTCTGCCTTCCGGCTTCAAGCAATTCTCCTGCCTCAGCCTCCCAAGTAGCGGGGATTATGGTGCGCACCACAATGCCCAGCTAATTTTTGTATTTTTAAGAGAGACAGTGTTTCACCACGTTGGCCAGGCTGGTATCGAACTCCTGACCTCAAGTGATCCACCTGCCTTGGCCTTTCACAGCTGGGATTTCAGACATGAGCCACTGTGCCTGGCCTGAAATGTTCTTATAAATCCCTTTTCTTCATAGAAATAAGAACCTGTGACTAAGTTTTTACTGAAAACTACCTCCACTTTGAACTTGAATGTATAAACAAGCAGAGAATACTCTTCTTCCTATTCTAGAGAGTATCCATTAAAGGTAGCTTAGACAAGAGGATAGTCAGCTGTAGTTCAGGGACTAACATCCGCTCACCCCTTCATACCCTTGTACTCATTCCAGGCTGTCCATTGCCTCTGTACTTCCAATTTTGGGGTAGGGATAGTGGTTAAAGGACCAATGTGATATAAGAATGGCCACTGGCTGGGCACAGTGGCTCATGCCTGTAATCCCTACACTTCGGAAGGCCGAGGTGGGAGGCTTGCTTTAGCCCAGGAGTTAGAGACCAGTCTGCGCAACATAGCGAGACCCTGTCTCCATGAAAAATAAATTTAAAACAACCAGGCGTGGCAACATGTGCCTGTAGTCCCAGCTGCTCAGGAGGCTGAGGCCGGAGGATCACTTGAGCCCAGGAGCTCAAAGCTGCAGTGAGCCATGATGGCACCACTGCAATGATAAAGACCCTGTCTCAAAAGAAAAATAAAAGAGTGGCCGCAGAAAAGGCAAGCTGTCAGAGTCTTGACTGATTAGGTGAGGGTTTCAGCCAAACTCTAGAACCTCAGGCAAGCTCCTTTATTTATTTATTGACAGAGTCTTGCTCTTGTCACCCAGGTTGGAGTGCAATGGTTGATCTCTGCTCACTGCAACCTCCACCTCCTGGGTTCAAGTGATTCTCCTGCCTCAGCCTCCTGAGTAGCTGCTATTATAGATATCTGCCACCATACCGAGCTAATTTTTTTTGTATTTTTAGTAGAGATGGGATTTCACCAGGTTGTCCAGGCTGGTCTTGAACTCTTGACTTCAGGTGTTCCACCCGCCTTGGCCTCCCAAAGTGCTGGGATTACAGCCGTGAGCCACCGTGCTTGGCTGCAAGCTCCATTATTAAATTAAGACAGGCCCTAGATTGGATTATCCAGGTCACCCCCACTGCCAGCACACACTCAGCCTCCTCTGGGAGGAGGAATGCCTTAACTGCAGATGTGGGATTCCATCCTGACACCCAGCAGTTCTGAAAGACTGGTGGCGTATGCAGCTTTTTGCCAAGGAAGCAGATGGACTGAACCAGGTTGCCGAAATGCATCGCTGTGTCTGTCTTCAGGAGTGCTATGTTGTTGCTCATGGAGTTGTTATCAAAGTCCTCATGGATGATGACGGTATTAACTGGATACTCTGTGTGACCAATCTTCCTGGAATCCATGTTACTTATACCCACTATAACAACAATGTTCTTCCTAGAGAGAGAGCAAGGGAATCTTAAGAAGCCAAGACACCAAGGAAGCTTCACACTTCCATGTTTTCCTATTTATATATTTTTTTTAGCCTGGAACACTCATCCAGTTCATATTCTCTGTGTTAATTCTTCCTCACCCCTTTGGACTTAAGTTTCTAGGAAATCTTTTATGAACCCCTAGGCTTGTGCCCTCTTTTGTGAGCCTGCAGAACTGTGGAGATTCTTCAGTCTTAACACCATTTGTCCCCCGACCAAAGATAATCTGTTAACATGTTATTGCTGATGAACTGCTTTTCTATTAATAGGGTGTTTTGTTTTGTTTTGTTTTGTTTTGTTTTGTTGTTGTTGTTTTGTTTTTACATATTGTAGTTTGCAAAAGTACTAATTGCTGTTCTACAAAAGACATCATCTTGACTCCTGCTTTTAGTAGTTGACATTTTAAAAGAAGCATCTTTCCTTATATATTCTGTAAATACAGTTTGGAGAAATTGAAGTTCTAATAACAATAGAATTGAGTTGGGTGTTTTCCCTGTCTCCTCTTGGGAATCACTCAAGAAACTATGAGAGTGAGGGGCAAATATAAACACCATAAAACCAAGAGACGCTGGAGAATCCAAATCTCAGAGTCTGAGGAAGGGCTGATGAAAGGAAGGATGGCAGGCGTGCAAGAGTTATAAATGACATTGACTGCCAGAGAGCTCTGAAAAAGCTGGTCAAGCATGTTCTCAGCAAAAAAGTGAAAAGAAAAGAATCAAGACCATCACCAAAATGAAGGCCAAATCAAAAGCAGCATAAAGGAAAATAGGGCCCACAGAAAAAACAATTGGGTCATTGAGAAATGTGACCAAAATGAGATGAAAATTAACAAAGATTTTTAAAGGCTTGAGAGGAAAATGACAGATAAGGCAATCACAGCAGAACCAGCCAACCACAAAGAAAGCAACCAAAATTATGAAACAGGAAAAATATTTCAAGATATAATTTAAGAAAACTTTTCAGAACTAAGACTTGACTCTGTAGTTTGGAGATAGTTAACCTATCTCCAACAGTGTTGAGTGTCCACTATCTCTGTAGTTTGGAGTAGTTAATTGAGACATAGTCTGGTCAGGTCTCAACAGGAAATAAATGTTCTACTCAAATAAGGTAAATTGGGGTGAGTTTAATAAAGGGACTCTTTACAAAGGTCTAGGCAGGATACAGGGAAACCACAAGGACAGCGCTGGGCACTGGCACACTATAGACAGCTCCTGCTGAGGTTATAACACTGTTTTGACGCTGCCTCTGGGCTCTATGTGAGGGAACGATGTGATCAGACAGAGTTGTGTAGAGTGGGTCACTGAGCTGGTAAAGCAACCAACAGCCAATCTGCAGTAGCACTCAGAGGAATAAGGACCCTGACTTCACTCTCTTCACTCCCTCTGATCTCTTGCCTCTTATGTACATGTTGGCCAAAACCAACTGGAATCCAGAAGGCAAGAGAGACCACTGGTATAATCCATACAGGTGAGCTTCCTGGGGCCTGGCAGGGTAGAAGAGTACAGTGGATCTCAAGGGGCAGGTGGAGGAGATCCTGCACAACTAATAAAGTTGCTGGACTTGAGTGACAAAGAAGGAATCCTTGGACATCTAGACCAACAAAGATGAAGTCATCTTAATTAAGTTTGGGTGTATTGTCTAATCAAAGTACTGGGATTATAGGTGTGAGTTACTGCGCCCAACTGGTTAATTCACCTCCGACAGTCTAGGACAGACCAAGTAGACTTCCTTGTCCAATTTTATATATTAAATTATACACCAAGTACGGAGAATGAACTTTTTAATTTACCTGTGAAAAATATTCACATAGACCACCCATAGTAGTAGACAGGACAATCTCAACAAATTCAAATAGATCACCACATTGTATAATTCAATAATGTTAGAAGACAAACAAAAAACCCTAACACCTGGACATTTAAAACTCTGTCTTGGCCAGGCGTGGTGGCTCACATCTATAATCCCAGCAATTTAGGAGGCCGAAGCAGGCAGATCATGACGTCAGAAGTTCAAGACCAGCCTGGCCAATATGGCAAAAACCTGTCTCTACTAAAAATACAAAAATTAGCTGGGCATGGTGACATGCACCTGTAGTCCCAGCTATTTGGGAGGCTGAGTCAAGAGGATTGCTTGAATCTGGGAGACAGAAGTTGCAGTGAGCCGAGATCACACTGCTACACTGCAGTCTGGGTAACAGCAAGACTGTCTCTAAAAGAAAATAAAATTAAATAAAATTTAAAAATAAAACTCTGTCTTTAATAAAACCCTTGAGTCAAAGAGAAAATAAAAAACAAAAGAGCAGACTAGATAGAAAATAGCCATAAAGAAAACACTAC